CAATAAGGTTTATACTCAAAATATAATAAAATAAAATAAATCTATAGTATGGGAGTCGGGTATATATTAAATTAATATCCCATTCATACCCATTTTAAATTATAATTTTATACGTATACCCCACCCCATTTATATAGACCTCATTTAAAATTAATTAACACAAAATAATACACCTATATGATATGTGTCCATTTCTAATCCAAGATTAGGATAAGCACACCATTAGCGCAAGCATCAACCTTGATGGCCATTGGAAATTCGGGAATTCCAAAAAACAATTCAACCAAACACCACTAAAAGGTAGAGCGACTTGTCACCTTCAACTCAAAGCTCCGGCCACAATTAGCTCTTCCCACTTTTTAAGTAAACAACTTTGCAATTATTAAATTATTTTTAATTATATTAAAGTTATATTCTTATGAGGATTTGATCTCATCCAATAGTATATCTAATTAAAATATTTTAGGTAAGAGCATATCTTATTCAAAAAAATATGAACATTTTATACATAAAATAAAGTAAGTTGAATTAGAAAAATTAGATATAAATTTTTATAAATAAATATTTTATAGTTTTTATAAATTTTATTATGATCGTAACATATAAAATTTTATAAATTCAAAAAGATTTGAAAAGTATTAAATCTTTTTTAAAAAAAAAAATAAATGCATAAAAAATATATGTGTAAAACTCTAAGTGTAAACCAACAAAATAATAATTATATTAATGAATTAAAATATGCCATGATCGAAAAAACACCTCAAAATATCTATATGATGAATTTAAGTATCATATCAATAAATATCTAATTATTTGTAACTAAAATTTTTATGGCGATACTTCTGTCAAACATGATACTTGTGGGATGACATTGCCATTGGTGACTCCTTCAACATTCAAACAATACGATTCTGCTTCGTTGTTTTCACCATTTTTGTCTTTTGTAGTTAATTTTAACTTTATATCATCCATTATAATATTTGTGCATGGAGTTGTCTCGCTGCAGGCTAAGTGTACTGCATCTTTTTTATTTGATGTTCCGTGTACATCGCTGTAAATTACGTTGTCAATGTTCACTGCAGATGTCTGTTAACGAAAAATATGATCACAAATCAAATCATTATGTAATTTAAAATACGAATGATTCATTAAAATGAAATTAATAAAAAATAAGAAGATGACATGTACTTACTTCGTTTTTACATTGTTTATCGGGACAATAGTATTGATCGATAACAATGGGTCTTGTTGCATCTTGAGATTCAATATGCTCGAATGTTATATATCTAGCATACCCTTTTCCTCCCTTCAATTGACGATAAAGATTTTGTTTTAAAATGATAATTAATTGAAATATAATTAAAGGTTTGCCTTAATTTGATATAATTTCATGAATTGAAAACTTAAAATATTTAAAATTTACCTGCCATGTCTTTATTCTACATCCATTGCTTGTTCCTTTAAACACAATATCTTTTACATAAATGTATTCTACTGTCTCGTAGTCACCATTCTTACTTAAACTTCCAATACTGCAAAAAAATTAAAAAGAAATAATTTCAACAACAAAATAAGAAATTTATAAAAGAAAATTTTAAGTTATGAAATTAATATATACATATATATATAAGAAAATTAATTTTAAAAATAATACCATTTAAATAAAATTTTACCTTATTCCATGACCCGGACCACAGGTGATGTCCGATATGTTAACATTTGACGTGCCGGAACCAATTGATATGCAATCATCCCCTACATCAATTAATTTTAAGAAGTAAATTTTTTTTGAAGTTTTTCAATAAAATGTAAGAATCAGTATGTTAAAACACATAATTATCTTGAATTTTAGAAAAATATGAAATATATAATTAATAAATACATATATATATACATATATTACCAGTAGAAATGAGAGAATTTGAAACGAAGATATTAGTGGAGGATTGGATATGAATGCCATCAGTGTTGGGGCTGTCTCCTGGGGCTTTAATGGTGAGATAAGAAACAAAAACTCCTGTGGATCCTTCAAGAGAAATATGCACTTGTGGATTGTCCTCAAAGCTTAACCCATTCAGCCTTACGTTATTTGATTTTGAAATAACAAGCGCCTAAAATACACTCACCAAAACTCATAACTCATAATAATTTAAATAAAGTTATAAGTATATTTATTATATTACACCCTAAATATATGTGGATTAGATAATTTACCCAATAAACTAAAGTTGAAGAAATTTCTAGCTTACCGTTGGTTTTTTATGGCAGGCCTGCAGAATTAAGAAAACATGATATCAGCTCCATGTATAGGTGTATCTATATATATATATGTACGCATGTATTAATATAAAATAGTATGATGTAGTTTAAATTGAATTTGCATGCACATACAAGTTTATCATCATCACAAGAGAGAGGCCACCAGTTTGATCCTTGACCAGCGATGGTACCAGCTCCACTGATGATGATGCCGTCCAGATTTTCAAACACAATCCATTCTTCACAGCTTTCTCCATCACCACCACATTTCCAATCATGAGGTTCGCTGGGTGCAATTATTTTCCCGTCAACCTGATCAGATAAATTAATATTCCATACTTAAAGTGTATATATATATATATATACACAATCACGTGTACGTATGTATACATTAAAAATGTTGAAAAAATTAATATACACACAATCAACAAAGTCCGAAAAAAAAAAACAAAAAAACACAAAATGTAAGACAATTTAACAAGTATATTTATATTGATGAACAAAATAAAAAAAAAATTATATAATAGAATCGAGATTACATCACCATTAAATACGAAAACTCTTATATAAAACAAATATTAAAATATTTTCTAAAATATTTTACACGCACAGAATATTTTCTATTGTATATATAAAATATTTTTAGACTCAAATTATATCAACATAAAATTCATATATTTCAGTTTAATTAATTGACAGTTTTATATAAATAATAATATAATATTATGATACCCAATCCAATTTGGATTACACATCTTTAAGTTACAAATACAATATGTATATGCGTGTGTGTGTGTGTGTGTGTGTATTAATGGATCAAATGAATTTACCAGAAAGGTAATATTGTTTGACTTGCAAGGACCAGAGAAGGTTAATGGTTGCAGCAAAAACTCATGTCCCTCAGGAATATGCATGGTTGGTGAAGATTCTGAAAAATTGCACGTAGCTTTCCATGCATCCTCGAAAGCCTAAAACAAAATTTATACATATTTAAATATAAATATATGTTAATTATTACAAAATTCTAAATTTAATTTATATAAGATTTAGTCAATTAACATATTAAACTAAAATTATAAATTAACCTGAGTATCGTCGCTATATCCATCACCGGTGGCTCCATAACTTTGAACATCAAAGACTGTAGTCTCAGTTTCTTGGCCGGCTAGTAACATACATTGACTTGCCAAAACAACGAACCATATCTTGTACAAGTTATCCATGCTCCCTCCCTCAAATCTGATGTAAATATATATATATATATGAATATCTATATATATATATATGTATTAATTGTAATACAATATGAATAAATTTTAAATAACAATACATATAAAAACAAAACTCAAGTTGACCTTTTGTAAAAGAAAAAATAAAAATAATATGAGAATACTTTTAGTTTCAGGTACTCTATAAGCAAAAACAGCAAAAATTGATAAGTATTTAAGTGTTATATACATATATATATAGCATATGTGTACGTATAGTCTTCAACTTGTGTATACATTCGAGAAATTAAAAGATAATGTGAAGAAAATATCATACCTCTAATACCTTCTTTCACTTCCTGTAATAAAATAATCGAATAGAGATATATATATATATATATATATATATAATGAAAAAATTAATAGTTTAGAAATATATACTTAATTATTAGTGGTTGTTTTTGAATAGGATATCAAAATCAAAATATTTTAATAAATTATTAAATATGTCTATCCATAAAATATTTAATTATATTAATATTACCTTTATGTTTATCATGTCGATGTATCGTAATTATATTTAATTTCTTCTTTTTCACTCTTACCAATTGAATTGTTATTATACGACTATAAAATATATTGGATATGTATGATAATTACTCTCCCACCCACATTGTAATATTGGAAAAAACACAACACTCCAAACAAACAAATATAACATATTACTTTGATAATATGTTGTATAAATTAATTTATTTTAATATATATATATATATGCACATATCAATATTAAAATTAAAAATTAACTAAATTTAAAATAAATTAAGAAGAAAATCAATCATAAAATAACTAAAACTATATTTAAAATTTTTTTTTGGTCAAAAGCTTATTGTTGACTGGTCAAAGTCAACATTGACGGTTGACCGGATCGGGTCAACAGCCGGTCAGTCTAGGCTGGGTTGGGTCTGCGCCGGGTTGGCCCAACTGAATGGTCCTCTTATTTCTCTTTCTCATTTCTTTCTTTTCTTCCTTTTCTTTTCTTCTTGTGGACCAAGTCCACATGATTTAAAACATAACAATAAAAACACAAGCAGCCCAAAACTTTCTTTTTTTTTTTTTTCTTCTCCTTCTTCCTCATGCAGCCTGCAACGGCTGCAAAATAAATGCTACAGTAACGGCTGGAAGTTACGCACAAGATTCAGCAGTTGTTTCGACTGCCGAACGTTTTCGTAACCGCCGGACTTTCCTCATGCAGTGGCGGTCGGCCGCTGCTTTTCTTTCTTGTTTTTCTGCTGCATATGTATAGATATACATCCTTAATATACATATATAATACTAAATTTCTGCATATTATGTACATATATATATTTTTAATCTTCTACATATATATTTCTAATATTCATATACATATATATATATATGTATTTCTAATCCTTATTTATATACATATATATATTTCTTTTGCATATATTTTTGCACATATATATATATATGAATTCAACTAAATAAAAAATAAAATCTAAAATTCTGAATACAAAATCTAAAATTACAAAATAAATAAAAAACTTTCTAAAAAATTCAATATTAGAAATGGTTCTAATACCAATTATTGAAATAAAAATACTTTTTAAATCTATAGATTTATAAAAAAACTAAACATACAATCTCGTACTGAATTAATGATAAAAGTACGCGAAAGAGTATCTAGATCCATCGTAGAAAAATTATTCACGTTTGACGGTAGAATATTTCGAATCAACATAGTGTCTAAAAACTAATTTTTTCTAGTGACAAAATTTCAGAAAAATAAAATGTCAATTTTACGGTTCCAAAACCATAACCGTCTTTTATATCGACAAACTTTTATAATTCTCATTTTGACTATCAAGAAATAAGAATATTATAAAAATGGTATCTGTACATTATAAATTCATACATAAACCCAATGCTTTAAGGCCTAATACTGTTTAATTATATCTTATTACTTTTAAACGAATTCATTAAGTTGATAGCCTGATACGCATACCAATGTACACGTGTTATAAAAAATCCAACATATATATATACATACCCCTTCCTATTTCTCTTTTAATTCCTTTTTTCTTCTCTTTTTTCTTACGATATCTGGATCGCAGTCCGTGAGTTCTACTATACTCGTGACAAGGTAAGGAGTACTTACTTTATATTCGAATACCATACTCATCCATTAAAGCACTTCAAATTCATGTTTAGACAATTTGTATTCTCATGTATAAACAACATCACATCATATCGAATATATAAGCAGATGTAATATATATATTAGATCAATTCATTTTTCTCTTTTATTTAACATTTAGAGTCTTATATACTTTTAGATTTCACCGCATAATTTGTTGAGGTGTATGACATATAATTTATTGAGGTGTATTTTAGAGAGAGAAATTCAGTTTAATTAATTTGGATTACATATTTTGAAGTTACCAATCACTCAAATAGAAAATAATATATATATATAGATATATATGCGTGCATATGGTGTGTGTGTGTGTGTGAATGGATCAAATGAATTTACCAGAAAGGTAATATTGTACCAGAGAAGGTTAATGGTTGCAGCAAAAACTCATGTCCCTCAAGAATATGCATGGTTGGTGAAGATTCTGAAAAATTGCATGTAGCTTTCCATGCATCCTGGAAAGCCTAAAACAAAATTTATACAGATATAAATATAAAAATATGTTAATTATTACAAAATTTCAAATTTAGTTTATATGGGATTTAGTTAATTAACACATTAAACTGAAATTATAAATTAATCTGAATATCGTCGCTATATCTACCACTGGTGGCTCTATAATTTTGAACATCAAACACTGCAGTCTCAGTTTCTTGGCCGGCTAATAACATACATTGGCTTACCAAAACAATGAACCATATCTTGTGGAAGTTATCCATGCTCCCTCAAATCTGATGTAAATATATATATATATATATATATATGAATATCTATATATATGTATTAATTGTAACACAATATAAATAAATTTTAAATAACAATACACATAATATGAGAATATTCTTAATTTCAGGTACTCTATAAGCAAAAGTAAAAATTGATAAGTATTTAAGTGTTATACACGTATATATAGTATTTATGTACGTATAGCCTTCAACTTGTGTATACATACGAAAAATCAAAAGATAATGTAAAGAAAAGATCATAACTCTAATACCTTTTTTTCACTTCCTATGATAAAATAATTCAAGGGAGATAAATATATTAATAACTTAGAAATATTTATTTAACTGTACTTAACTATTTAATATAATTCCTAAATAAATATTATACTTTCACTATAAATTATATTTATTTATACTTGTATATATCTAAAATTCATGTCAACATTGAGTTATAATTTTAAAAAATTTGTAAAAAATTTTAATTTAAAATTATTTTTGACTTATCAGTAAAAAAAAATTAATAGAATAAACTTTCCTCGATAAAGAATTAAATAAAAAAATTAAATTATGAACTGAACAATGTGCAACTTAAAAAGTTATCTATTAGTTACTTAAAAATTAAGAGTTTTTATTATTTAGTCCCAATTAGAAATTTAGATCAAACAAGTGAATTTCAGTTTCATCTTATATTCCTAATATTTTTACTACTCGATGGTTTGTTTCTTTTGTTGATGACTGTAAGAAAATTGTCTGACTATTTTTGGTCAAATCAAAATTCAAAGTGAATCATATACCACCTCAATTTTACAACATAATAGAAAATCAATTTAGAATCTACATTAAAGATTCCACACGGACAATGCTAAAAACTTTTTCAATCACACACTATTATTATTTTTTTTTTCCGAAAAATGGACTATAATGAGTTTTTATCTGTCTACACTCTATAACAAAATAAAGTAATTGAAAGAAAATTTCTTACGCCACAAGATGGTATTGGGGTAAGGTAGTTTTTATTGCTACCTATTTTGACCAATTATCATAAAGTGTTTTGTTTAAAACCCTATATAAAATTTCTTGATATTTTGTACATAAAATAATATTATAAATCATTTTTTTTTAAAAATATTTGAATGTATTATTTTTGTTCATACATATTTATATCAAATAGGATAAGTTGATATTAAAACGTGAAATATATGTTTGTACAATATTCTTCTTTTTAAAAAAGGATACAAATATTACCATCCATCCATAAAAAATTTTTAATTGCTTTTTCTTATACAAAACCTCTACTTACATTATAACCACCAAATATAAATAGTGATTATATAATTTTTATTATTTCTATCTGTTTCGTAACACATTGATCATTAGAGGATGAACAGCAAGGCAGCACCATCAACATAGACAGGTGACGGTATAATCTTTATCATTTTTATATAATTAAATATTACACAGATATATATAATATTTAATAATAAAGAAAATTTATATGGTGGAAATAGTACATCCAAAGGGCTTGTCTCTCTTTATTCTTCCATGCTTATGGTAGATCGTGCATGCTTGTTAATTAAACATCCCATCTGAGCACACATACACACACATATGTATATATATTATTATTATTATTAGAATGAAGCCACTTTAGGGTTGGGAGGATGAACCAAACACTTTTCAAGGTAGGCATCAATGGAAGTGTAGTTATAGTTAGGATATAATGCTGATGCCTCCAGGTCATCTTTAGTTAGTTCATAGTTTGTAGAATCACCTTTCACAAATAAGCTGTGCACCACTGCTACCGGAACGTTATCTGGTTTAGGTAAAGCTGCATTAACCATACATATCCATCAATATATATGTTCAGTATATCTATATACATATCTAGATATGTGTGTCTGTGTATATTACTTTGAGACAACTTTATAAGTTCTTCCTCTGGAAGGAAAGCCCTTTTGAAAGTTCGTCCAGTCTTCCTCTCCCAGGCAGAAATTAGATCAAGTTGAGATATAATGTTTTTTGGTGGCTTGCAGATTATTATACGATTAGCTACCCTTGGATCTGTGGCTGCTTTCACGGTGTAGAATGCTATATCTTCTTCATAGTTCATCACAGCTGGCAACCACCTCGCAACAATTATATACAATTATTACAAATTTATACATTAGATGTATGTATTCGAAAGAGAGTTGTCATATCTTCTGTATCGTTACTGTGGAACTTGAAAAACTTTGTATAACATGTGATAGTATTTGAAGAATCTGATGCTCTCATCATTACATAAAAATGGTGATAGATAGCTGGCCAAAAGCAACTGTTTTTAGAAAATATCTATATTGACTAATATAGTAAATTTAGGTTTTTATAACTTATACTTTAATTTTTTAAAAAGAATTAACACTAACTTTATCACAATTTAATAAATATTCACGTAATAAATGACGTAATTATATGAATATTATATTTTTAAAGATGACCAATATATTTTTCATATGACTTATATGTTAATCAATTTTAAAATTATTGTTTTAGGTGTCACACTGATACTTTATCTAATTTTTTCTTCTTTGTTTCGCACGACACATCTTTACTCTTCTATGATCATTTTTGAAAATATCATGTTCAGATAACAATATTGTTTGTCACGTAGATATTCGTTAAACAATGTTAATACTGGTTAATTTAGAACAAATTTAAAAATATGAATATATTTGAAGTAAAAATTATTACAGGTGAGAGACTAACTTACTTTTGGTTTCACCAGTTCCATAAACAACAACCTCATCGAGAGAGTCGCGGGGATGAAGAAGGTAATCAACGAAATATGCAGAGAGGGCACTTGCAACTACAAAGGTATAGGGGATGCCTGATGCTTCAGTTGCTCTTCTGATCTTCCTTTTGATATCAAGTACTTCATCAAAAGCTGGTAGTGTTTTCACTCTGTCAATTTCATGCCCATATTCCGATGGCAGAAACCTCTGCAAATACCCATTAGCAAAACCTAATTAATTACTTAATTATTAAGGTAGTTTATAGAACTATACATACATACATATATATATATATGCCAACCTTGATGGTGCCAGCTTCTTTCATGGCTTTTATTATCTTGAGTTGATCAAGATGTACAGGGACTGGAAGGGCTGAGATCACAACCTCCACTTGTTTAAGCACTGAAACTAACTTCTTTTCATCATCCAGCTCTCCCTGTTTTAATTGGAACTAATTGACTAATTAGTTAAATTAATCAACTAATTTCTTAATTGCAAATTTAAAAGATACTGGGGCATTGGTGATTCATATTTAGCTAAATTTTTGGCAAATAAGGAAACATTGTCTATTTTTGTCCAATTCTTTAAACTCAGTAACTATGATATTGTATGAGTCTTTGGCTTGCAATTCACTGTGTTTACTTGGATTATTCTTATGTTTCTATCTTGATTCTAATAAATTCTTTGTCTTGGTTATATTTTTCTTTTTCTCTTCTTTTTTTTATCAAATTGTTATCTTAGATGAATTATCCTATTCTTGTCAGAGATTTTTTAATTAATTGTTAGACTCTTTAACTCTAGAAAAGGAAGAGATTCATAAGCATGTAGCACACCAAGATACTATAGTATAGAAATTTGTCAACAAGCACTATGTTAAAGTAAAATATAAGAGTGCATGTTACTGTACTGAATGTAATGAACCAAGTTAACAAAGAAATGGTTGTGGGTTAAGCTCTACTGCTTATATATATGTATGCATGTGTAAATGAAGTACATAGGAAGTTAATATAGAAATGCTTATGGGTTAAGCTTTAGAAATGCTTATGGGTTAAGCTTTACCACGTATATATATATATATATATGTGTGTGCGAATGAAGTACATAGGAAGTTAATATATATAATATACATGTATGTGCAAATGAAGTATATGGGAAGTTAGGAACCTGGAAGACAGTAACTCCCATGGATTCAAACGTTTTGAGTTCTTGAAGTTTAGAAGAATCATCAGTATTACTTGGTTGGATTGGGCGAGTGTAAATATAGGTTTGGTGGCCCATGGCAACGCTTGCTTTCACAATGTAGTTACCCACATAACCAGTTGCTCCAAGAATCAAAATCCTGCTCTTCTCAGAATCCATACCTGATATTTTCTCTTTTAATTTTCTTGTAATGATTTTGATTTGAGAGATCCAACTCTCCTCGCTTATATAGAAGAAACTTTGACTTGAAAGGGTAAGAATCTTTTCATTCTCGTTGCTTCATTTTTGTTTTAGTTGTCTTATTGGGAATTTTGATTGGTTCATATTCATACACTCATATACACAAAATATCTTAGAGGTAATTCATCTTTCACACTTTTCTTTTTAGTGCAATTCCTTAACAAAAATAGTTTAATTAAACACCAAACATTTTGAAAGAATTGTTGGGTATTAATGATCGTAGTTATTTCAATTAAAAAAAAATCTAATCTTTGTAAAAACAAAAAAATTCGTTTGAAACAAAATTTAATTTACTCACTACAGTTATATTAACATATTAGTAAACTAAATTTTATTAAATCAAATATTATGTGTTGAATACAGTTAGTATATAATATTATTCATATAATTAAAAATTTTATATTTTTAATAAAATTTAAATTCATGTCGAATTTAAGTGAATCATATTTATTTTTATATTTTGAAGGTGATGTATTTTAAAAATATATGCATTGTTGTATAAGAATAATAAAATGAGAATTTTATGATTAAATTATATAATTTTGGATTGAATTTAATTATGGTATTCAATAATAATAATAATATCTTTAGAGGTTCCAAAGAGGTGGTTGATGTACCAAATTTTCATTTTTGGCCTTTGACACATAATTCATCTTTATGTTGTGCTCATGATGACACCTTACCATAACGTTTTCTTTAAAATCAAGGTTGCCTTTTATTACCCGACCTTATATTTAATTCTTTTTTATAAATTATTTTTAAATTACAAATTATTTTTAAAAATAAATAATTTCTTTCATATATATATATATATATATATAAGTTTATAGCTTTAGTGCAAGAAAAATAAAAAAAAAATTTTAAAAAAATCGCATTAGCTCCGAAAAAAAACTTGCCCGTGAATGAATTTTGTTTCTTTAGTACAAGAATAATATTAATAGAGTTACATATGGTGAAAAAAAAAAAAGGTAATCGCAAAATTATATGAAATGAAATTAAATAATTGAATATCTGTTGATAATATTATTGTTTTACTTTATGTTATCTCAGTTTTGTAAAATTTGAAGAGTAACTAAGTCAAAAACTTTAGTAAAAATATTAAACGATGTATTCAGAATTCATTTGAGAACATTTATTAATTGTAAATTTATGAATATATTAGAGATACTTTAACACCCAGATGGATAATTTATTGTTTGTTCATGGTAGATTAAATTTTCTAAAGGCATTGGGTTAAAGTCCTCAATGAGGGTGCATTTGAAACACTAAAAAGATACTATATATACATATATTTATCTTCTTCCACTTACAATTAAGAAGGTAGTGAAAATATTTAACTACATTTTGCAAAAAACATGATCAAATCTAAAAATAAATATAATGTATAACTGAAATAATTTGATTATGTTAACAAGTTAAAATGCTCATAAAGTTGTTGAATGAGTAAAAGGGAAGACTTGAAACTTTTTTATATTTGGAAATTTTAATTTTTTGGGTCCTCCTTTTTTTGTACGTTATACTGAAAATTTGCTTGAAAATGAAGAATTTTGGAATTCTTTCTTTTTAATCGAAGAAAAACCAAAAGTCTAAACTAAGAAAATAAGAAGAGAAAGAATTTTATCTTCAGATTTCAGGTAGAACTGTATGTGTAATGGGTAATAATAACTTTAAATGGTATGCAAAACCTTTAGCAGGATAACAGTAAAAGAAGAAGAAGGAAAAAAAAAAAAAAAAGAGAGAGAGAGAAGTTTTAGGTAGCATGTAATTGTTGGATTAAACAAACTGTCAAATGTTTTCTTCATTTAGCAGTGCTTCGTGTAGGAATCTTGTTGTGCGATTGGAGGAATATAATCAAAATTTATTTGCCAGTAATTGCTGATGGTAATGCCATAACCACTGTCTTATAATTATATATACACTCAACAGTCTTCCTTATATAATATCCAACCATCTTTTCCTTTTGTAAATTATAAAGAAATGTGCTGATTTATATACACAATTTCCACAAATGGGAAACTAAAATATCCAACCAAATGTTAAACATAATCAAATGTTGATTTCATTTAAATCTAACTCGCATATAAAAAGTGTGTTTAAGTTGCATAATTTTTTTAGGGTAGTATGGAAAAACTGGTTCCTAGTGTATTCAAATCAAAGACAAAATAGAAAAAACAAAAACCGCAAGCACCGGGATTTCTGGCCATCGGTTGCAAGGGGCTGAAATCATTATTTGAATCAGAGAGAGGCTAACTTCGGCATTTCTCTTGATAATTTGGCAATGAAAAGCACCACAAGTAATAACAGTACACATTAATACATGAAAAATATTTGGAAATACAAAAAAATGCAGCGGCGAAAAGAAAAATGACGGATTCTCCAACTCTAAATTTCTTTGCACGTATTCAAACTTGTGCTAGAAAGAGCATCTCCATCCTAGAATGTATTCCCAGCAATCTTCCATCGGATAAACAAAAGGCCCCCCTTGGACTAGGGTGTGAGATGCAGCAAAACAATTTGAAACCTTCTTACATTTTATGTACACTCATGCACAGTACAAACAACTGAAAACCTCCAACATCTCCGGTATTTAATCCGTTCCCGGCAGAAAGATCAACATGCACCTTTGATAATCACTGGAGGCCATCAACTCTGTCAATCACATCCAATGCTTTTTTCTTGTCCATACCAAAACCAATCATCGCAATCCCAGAAGGAAACCTCTTAATGGCGATTGATCCCTTGCTTTTCCTAGGGGAATAGCCGCTACTCTTGCTCAGCCTGTCATGCTTTCTCAATCTGGTTTTCTCAAAATCAAATTCCATACTCTTACTAATTCCTCGAATTCGTTTCTTCTTACTCACTTCCTGCAACATTTTCTGGTCCTCAGTAGTCAATAACGGGGCACCATAACGCTGTTGTTCAGATTGCTGATTCATCTTTTCAAGGTTTGGGCTCAGTGTCAACTTGATGGATGACCTCACACCACCACCATTTGCAGCAATCTTTGATTGGCTAACCAGATGTTGAAGCCATAGTACTTGTTCAAGAATATATTCTTCTGTTTTCTCTTTATCTGCATGGTGGAGTGTTTCAACAGGAATTATATCTGCGGGTCCAGAAGCAGACTTTCTATTCATCTCAGACCTGTAAAATAGAAGTCCGTGTCTTTTATTTTAGCATGTTTTGACATCTCATAAAAAGTAAAATCCACATGAAATGTGAAAGCACTAACAAAAAGAGCATAATTTTTGTTGGCACTGACCCTATATTTGCCCACTCTCCAACCCAACCAAAACCGTGATGAGCTCTGTTGGTAACCATTTTGCCAAGAAAAAGGCACACAAGAAAAAAAGATTAAGTATACAGCAGTGACAAAATAATGATAATAAAGAACGTTAAAAGAAACACTGCTTGCAGAAATCTTGCCATCTTACTTGGCAGTGTTAGTGGCTACTGGAACCAGCCACTCCAAAGTCTTCTCCATCTCT